CCCCATTTCATCTCCCTCTGGGTGACTACTGACTGCATATTAGATCTGGTTGACAGCTCTGTACGTTTCAGGAACATGTGCATGTGCACCCCATCTCAAGGAAGCCCATGCACCTCCATATTTGTGGTGAGGACTTCATCGGAAGCAATTTTAGCCCCAAACTGAAGGATCTGACAATTCCTTGGGGGAAAACTCAAAGCAATAGGGAATGGGAGCCCATAAATATATGCCCAAGAGTCTCATCCTTTGGAAGGAAAATTCTGGGTGGTATGCTGTTCTCTCTTAGAGATCTCGGGGGAGTCCCATCCACATAACCTACTGCAGTGACCTCAGGAATGCATCCCTATTTCAGGAACCCCTCTCCCCATCCCACTCACTCTGGCTTCCAAATAAATCACCTGCACTCATATTCTTGTCTTAGATCCTACTTTCAGAGTCACTTACACTAATTTAAGGACTAGAAAATGCCATAAGGTTTTTTTTTTCCCCAGTGATATGATCCTTACCATAACCAGCCCAAGACTTCTTCTTACTCATTTATTCACCCATTCACCATTCAGGAAGTCTTACCCCTGTACATTTCAGAAATATCTAAGCATGTCAACCCACAGCCGCTCCAGGAAATGAAGAGGTAACATTGAGCGAAGCAGATATATTTTCTGCCCTTTAGCAAGGTCTAGTGTCATTGGGAAAGCCCAGTTAATAAACCAATTACACAAATAAGCCTAACATATGTACAAGGATTGGTCCCACGGAGGAGAGGTTTAAAGCAATAGGACAACATAAGTTAAAGAAATAACCTATTTGGGCGCCTGGGTGGCTCAGATGGTTAAGCATCTGCCTTCGGCTCAGGTCATGATCCCAGGGTCCTGGGATCGAGTCCCGCATCGGGCTCTCTGCTCCTTGGGAGCCTGCTTCTCCCTCTGCCTCTCTCTCTCTCTGTCTCTCATGAATAAATAAATAAAAATCTTAAAAAAAAAAAAGAAAAGAAATAACCTACTTTATGGACTTCAGACTGAAGGTGATTAGGGAAAATTAAATTATGTAAATTACAGCTAAATGCCAAGAATGAATTGGTATTATAGAAATTAAGTGAGGTTAAGAGGAAGAAGGGAGTATTACAGACTATCTTGAGCAAAGGTCTTCAAATGGGTGAATCCTAACACATTAGAAGAAATAAAAAATCATGAGAAGTAAAAAATTTAGCTCTGATTCCTGAATGTGTTACACTAAAATATACCTTTGTGAGATACTCAAAACACTACCTAATTAAAATAAATGGTTGACCTCCATTTTAATTGGGGAACATGGGTATCCTGGGATTTTCAGTGACAACTTACATGACATTGGGAAGGCAATTCCCAGCTTCAACTTCAAGTTGTTTGGTGTTCTGATTGGATTGAGTTAATGTGGATCATTTGGGGAGTTTACAGTCACACGGTGGGGAGACCCCAAAATACCAGCATTAGAGTATTGTCTGTGGAGTATTGTCATTAGAATATTGTCCGTTCTCCCATCAATTAGGTCGTTCTGAGCATGTGCTAAATTCTGGCTTTTTCCATGTATATGTAACTTTCTTTAGACTATCAATTTAGTGAAACAGAGAAAAAATTTGTCTCAGAATAGAATAAATCCCATGCCTGATCCCCACCCATTGCTTAACTGTACTGGGCCCAATGGATAATGAGCTAAACCCCAAAGTCCAGATTGACCATCTTCCTCTCAATTTGAATACAGGAGAATACACTTACTTATTATCTTGGATAATATTATTGGATAATGTAAACATTCAACATAATATATTGGGTATTTATTATATCTTGGATTTGCTGTTACCTAAATTTCACTTCAAATTCCCTCAGTTGGGGGTGCCTGGGTGGCACAGTCAGTTAAGCGTCTGCCTTCAGCTCAGGTCATGATCTTGGGGGCCTGGGGTCAAGCACCACATCGGGCTCCCTGCTCAGCAGCGAGTCTGCTTCTCCCTCTCCTTCTGTAATTTCTCTCGCTCTCACTCTCTCTCAAATAAATAAATAAAAATTTTCAAAAATCCAAATTCAGTTGAAGGCTATTGGCCTTTGGACAGGGAAATTCTCTGCCTTAAAACTATTTTTATTTGCAAGGTGCTCATTGCATGCCCAATTTCAGGTTAGGTTGACAAGATGATCAAGCAGAAGTTACCTAAAGGAAAATCTATGCAAGAATTTGCTCTGGAACTTCCTCATGTTTTCAAAGAAAAACAGTTTCAATTTTAGATTGTCTTGTGGGTCTAGGAGATGAGTGGGGTTCAGTTTTCCACCAACTGGTTTGTTCTCTTCCTGTGTTATTTCCACACTCCACGTGCACAACTTTTCCAAAGCCCTGAGCATCTCCAAGTTTCTGGAGGACAGATTGGCTCCCTTGTTTCCCATTTTATTCTGTGCATATGATAGGTTGTACCTATTTCATTAGATTTATTACACACCCACTCTGCCCTTAGTCCCCAGGCAATATGGGTGCCAAGCCATCAGACATCTGGAATAGCATTTGGCAAGCCAGATATCAGATACACGTATCCAAAAACTCAAACTCTCTCCATCCCTAAACAGGGACTTGAAAATAGGTGACAGGGAGGGCATATTACTGTGGTTTGCCCCAAGACAAGGCTCCTCCAGAGAAAGAAGAGAGGGGGAGGGAGGACTGAGGTCAATAACATAAGTGATACAGGAGGTTGACAGGATGTTAGAGACCAGGTGCTCACTGCTGACTTGGTTGATCTCTGTTCTGGCCTCTCTCTTTTTCTCTCTCTCTCTCTCCCCTTCTTTCCCAACTCTTCAGATATACATATAATTTATCTCCATTATGGATGTGCTTCTCTTTCTCTTTCCCTCAGAAGGAGTGGAGTCAATGCCTCCCTCTGCTTCCTACTTCCTCTCTCATATCATAATCCAATGACAGAATCAGCTGAGAAACCTCAAGAATTCCTGAGCACATCCCTGAGATCTTTATTTTTTTTTTAAGATTTTGTTTATTTATTTGATAGAGACACAGCGAGAAAGGGAACACAAGCAGGGGGAGTGGGAGAGGGAGAAGCAGGCTTCCTGCCGAGCAGGGAGCCCAATGTGGGGCTCCATCCCAGGACCCTGGGGTCATGACCTGAGCCAAAGGCAGGCACTTAACCAACTGAGCCACCCAGGCCCCTCATTTTAAGGATATAGTGTGCAGATTACTGATTCCGAGTGTGGCCTCACAGGATTCTGGAGCTTCACCAGTGTATCTACATGTGATTTGTTAGCTGAGAAATATCCTCCATGTTGGAAACAACAAAGTATCTCTTATGCTCCAATTTGAGGCAGTGGACAGTGCTCTTGATCTTTGAATTTTCAAATTCTCCAGTTGAGCTTGGCCCATTACCTGTGTGCATGAGCATCTGAGCTTCTCAGTGCACTGCCCAGGCTCCTTTGGCCAACTCCAGAACTAATGTGTTTCTCTCCTTTATCCCACACACTGTGGCTACACTAAAATGTTTGCATGTCCCTTACCCTTGATGTTATTGCATCAACTTAAATCTTTGCACACATGACCACTGTGTAATATTGACCATTCCCATAAGAGTTAAAAAGTGACAAGTCCACCCCATACGAGGCCATCCCATCTGGTGTTAAGGTCCAACCAGGGTACTGGATTCCTCTCTAGACCAGAGCCTGGGTTGAGGTTTCAATCTGCTATTTCCCACATGGTTTCCAGTAGTAATGTCCATTGTGAAAATACCCTGCTGTTGTTCCCTCTCTACAGGTGACCATCATTGTGATTTTAAATTAATCATTTCATCCCTTTTCATGGTTTTTGCACATTTTATGACTCCTACATAATTTATGTTGTGTCTTGTTAATAATGCAATAGTGTCGCATGCATCCTTTTGGCTTCCTTCTTTCACTCATCATTGTATTTGTAAGATCAATCTGTATTTATTATGTTTGTAATCCTAGTTTGTGCATTTTAACTGTTGTATTATATTCCATTGTATAAAAGTAACACAAAATACTCATTCATTCTTCAGTTGGTGGAATTTTGTTATTTACAGTTTTTGGCCAGTGGGAGCAATGTTTCTCCCCTGACTCTTGTGCCTATATCCTTGGGTATATGTGCGCGGGGTTCTCCAGGGCAAACTTCTAGGTGTCAGACTGCCTGATCATAGCTGCATATCTTTTCCCCTGAGCCAGAAAATCCACACTACCCCCTACCAAACTGGCTGGAGCAATTTGCACACCTACCAGCAGTGCTTTGAAATCAAAACAAACAAATATCTCTCTATCATCTTGGAATTCAGTCTCATTTAATTAGCACCACAACCCTGAAGGAGCAATCATCACTACCAGTCACACAGGAAAGCACCAGAGGCTCACGCAGGAGAGTGCTGATTCCAGGTGCTGATGCTGGGGGAGGAGCCAGGCAGTAAGCACCTGGTGAAGAGAGAGAAGCCTGCAGAACCCAGACAAGGTGTTGGGATGTCATTCTGGGCTTGCATCTTCCAGGCTGGATAAAAATTTCAGTCCGTCAAAGCAGTTACTCAACCATATTAGTTGAGTCTCTGCACTTAGAGCTGGAGGGACAGACTGGAAACTCACATCAGGGAGCATGCATGTGACAAAAAGACACTTGTGATACACAGTGTTGGAACAGAACAAAGAAAGTGAGTGGAGTTATGGGCACAAATGTTTCGTGTGGATGAAACTTCATGTCATCAGTGTGCAGGAATAAGAGAAACCAGACACTAAGGAGGCAGCAAGGCAAGGGGCAAGGTTCGTGGTGGAGGAGCCTCCTCCAGGGAGCATTCCCAGCCTCGGTCTTTGCCTCCTGCACAGACGACAGTGCTTCATTGCCTTTAGGTCTTCAGCACAGAGTTCATACAGTTCATGAACCTCTTTAGAATCTTCTGTGTCATTGCAGCCTTGTGTGTGTGTGATTCTGTTCTCAGGTTCTACAAACCCCAAAGAGTGTGTGCAGCATCATCCTCAGTTTACCTTTTGGTTTCACCTTGGGCACTTCTCTGGCTGTGCCACGCCTGAAACACCAACACTGCTAGTTCCACCAGGACCAGTGTGGACAGACCCATTCGGATGAGATTCTCCAGTGTGTGATCTGGAAGTGGGGCTAGGGACAACGGGACAGAGAGGTCATGCGGGGCAGGACAGGTCACGCCTACCACAGCACCCAGAGGGGAGGTCTAGGTCTCTCCTCCCCTTGAACAGGCCATATGCACCGCAGGCTGACTATGTTCTGATACTCCGCACTCGTGGAGTCTGGAGTCTGCACTGATGGGGTGATAATAACAGGAGCCCCTAAGAGTCAGGAATGCAGAGCAGATGAGCAGCTGGGGATATCTCAGCCCATTTTTCCCCCGAGGATCTGAATTATCAAATCTCCCTTTTCCTGTCCCGAGGAAGGACCTCGGCTTTCACAGTGATCCCTCCTGCAGCTGTAGGTGAGGCACAAACCCTCTTGTCTCCGATTCCTTTGCATTTAGACTTTGCTTTGGGGTCTTAATGACAAAAAAGGGTTCAGCCACACCCCATGCCATGAGCTGACAGTGCACCTGTTTGGAAATTCCTCACACCTAGATCTTTCTTGCTCTCTCATCAGACCGAGCAATAGCCCACACTGAGCTTAATTTCCTGGGGAGGAGAGTCCTGAGTTAATCCTCAGCTGAGAGTCCTGGATTCATGGATGAGAGGTGGGTGCCCAGGGATTCCTGAGGGTCAGAAACACAAAGGGGTGAGCACCCAGGGCTACCAGTCTCTGCTCAGCCTCGGCCCATTCAGTTTCATCCTGCATCTGTGTTAAGAACATTCAAATGATTTTCTTTTGCTATTTCATCCATCCATCCATTCATTCATTCATTCACTATTGAGCCAATAGTTATGGACTATCTGGAAATATAAATAGATGTATTTATATACATATTTGTGTATTTATGTATATTACACATTTGATATAAGATATATTTATATATAAATGTATAAAAATCACATACTATACATAAATGCATACAATATACATATTATATATTATATAATGTATTTTATATGCTATATATATCTGTATGTAAATAGAGAGAGACATATGTGGTGAGACATTTGTATGTATACAATACACAGGAGTATGTGTGCCAGCATGTGCATGTGTGTCTTGGTGAAGGTAATAAAGAATAATCAATGTTCTTATTAAGAAGAAACATGTGGAGTGCCTGACTCTAGCATCTGACTCTTGATCTCAGCTCAGGTCTTGATCTCAGGGTTGTGAGATTGAGCCCTGCATTGGGCTCCACACCCAATGAAGAAGGAGAAGGAGAAGAAGGAGAAGGAGAGGAAGAAGGAGGAGGAGGAGAAGAAGAAGAAGAAGGAGGAGGAGGAGGAGGAGGAAGAAGAAAGAAGAAGAAGGAGGAGGAGGAGGAAGAAGAAGAAGAAAGAAGAAGAGGAGGAGGAGGAGGAAGAAAGAAGAAGAAGAAAGAAGAAGAAGAGGGGGAAGAGGAAGAAGAAGAAGGAGAAGAGGGGGAAGAGGAAGAAGAAGAAGGAGAAGAAGAAGAGGAGGAGGAGGAAGGGGGGAGAAGGGGAAGGAGGAGAAAAATGTGTATCAGATAAGATGGAGCTATAAATAGAAAAGTCTGTAATACATTTAGGACTGATTAAACACTTTTCTAAAAATTATAAAAGGTGTTAATGGGGTATTTGTATAGGGTCACCAGCCAAGGTGTCATTTGGAAAAGGATTTTAAGTCAAAACTGAAGAGTGGCAAACAGTGAGGCATAGGAAGAGAGAGTGTCAGTATTTATCACACAATGAATGACAACATCCTTTGCCTAAGCTATTCTATTCTAAGAATTTAACCAAGAGATGAGGGGTAATTGCTTCCACATACCTCTGTGCATTAGGTATGTGCAAGGATATTCATCACAGGATAGTCTGAAATATCAAAAGGCTGGGAATAAACAAATTGCCAATGCCAAATTATAGGGTACTGGATACATATATCCTGACACTTTCAAGCAAGAAACAACTATACAACCCTTAAAAAGTTTAAAAGAGATTTGTGTTACTGACACCAGATAATTCTTTAGAATGTATTTCATTTTTTAAAAATAGAGCTGATCAGAACTGTGTCTATAAGATGTTGATGTTTGTCCACCCATGGAAGATATGTTTGTAGGTTCTCCCTGAATGTTCAGGGGGGAAAAGGTAGGTGAGTGTGGTTGGGTTGGTTTTGGGGGATTGAGCAAGTGGTAGCAGAGATTGAGAGGTAACTACTCTTTTTTGTACCCCATTTGTGAACAGTTTCCGGGATGGACCATGTCAATGCATTCCTGTTAAAGAAGTAGATAAAAGCAAGTCTTCTGGCTTTTTGAGAGATGCTGCATTTCACACGTGGGTCGGGGCCCAGTGGGGGGTGTGGGGCAGAGGAGGGAAGGACAAGGTGCATCCAGAGAAGTGGCTGCTGTGGGGTCATCCAGACACTAGACAGATGGGATGGGGAAGAAGACATTCGCACAGCCCCTCACCTGTGACCATGAGCTTCAGGGGGTCGCTGGGGTGCGACAGCAGAAAAGGGGTGCTGCCGAGTGACCCGTAGCACCTGTAAGTCCACCCGTGGTCCAGCATCGCAGGGCACGAGTCAAAGTTCGCCTGAAACTCCCCATCTTGGTGCTGAGATCTGAGGTGCAGGGGGGGGCCGGCTTCCCCCTCCTTGGACAGAAGGAACACATCAAACAAACTGGGGCTCTGACACCGCAGGGTCACATTCTCTCCCGGGGCCACAGAGGGCCCCGGCTGGGCAGACAGGGTGGGAGTTGGCCCCTGTGGGAGCAGGACTGGGAGAGAGAGTCCAGGGTGTTAGGGGCGGCTCCGCCCTCTCGCCCTTCCCCTGAGCTGAGATGAGCTGTCACTCAGGCGCTCCATCCAAGTGCAGCTCCTGGCTTCTTCTGTTCCCACTTTTCTTAAGATCGCACTTTATAAGGTTTGATAGGTAAATAAAGAATGTCACTTTTTTATTTAACTGATAAGGTTTTTGCTATTTTGTTATTTGCAATTTTGATGAGTAAACCAAAGAATATTTGCATTCTGGAAAAAAAAAAAAAAGATTGCCCTTTCCTGTCCTGCCATCTCTCTGCCTGTGCTCCCTGCCCCCACTTCCAAAAAGACCCTGAAACGCCAATCCAAGAAAAGTGGGAGTGTGAGCTGGGATATGACTCCTCACCTGCGACCAGGATGTACAGGGCGTCACTGGGGGCCGACCACTCGGAGGAGAGCTTGCGTCCACCATAGCATGCGTACCGGCCCCCGTGGGAGGGTCTCACAGGGCCCAGGTAGAAGTCTGCCCCAGAGAGCCCAGCCTGGGGCTGTCGGCCAAGAAGCTGGGGAGGGTCCCGTGCGCCCTCCTTGGACAGAGTGAATCTGTCGTAGCCGACATCAGAGCGACACTGGAGGGTCAGGCTCTGTCCAGGAGCAACCACCGGCGCTGGCAAGACTGACAGGGATGGTTTCCTAGACACACCTGGGAGAAAAGGTGTTTCTGGTTTCCAAGAGGGTCAGGTTCCTCCTCCTCCTCCCACAGGCCTCCCACTGCTGGCTCCCAGAGTCCTGAGCTCTCTTGCCCCAACCTCATCCTACCCCGTGTTCCACCTGAGATGAGGCTCCTCTCACTGGTCTGGAGACCCAAGGAGTTCTAGGATCGTGCCCTGAATTCCTCACCTGAGATCAGGAGCTCCAAAATGTGGCTGGAGGTGGACCACACATAGGGAGAGCTCAAGAAATAATCATAGCACCTGTATGTCCGCCTGTGACTTGGGCTCACATGGTCCACAGTGAAGAGTGCCTGGAACCACCCATCAGCTTGGTGCTGAGTCCAGGTGTCTGGGGTGGCCCTCTCCTCCTTCGCTACACAGAACAAACCAGTCAAAATCCTGCCATGAACCACACTGGAGGGTCACGCTCCCTCCTGAGGTCACAATGGGGCTGGGCAGGGCTGAGAGGTTGGGTTTGTTGAACATTCCTGGGAAAGAACAAGCCAGATGTGTTAAAAGGGGAGGGGGCGCCTGAGGACAATGTGCTAAGTGAAATAAGGTAGACACAGAGGGACAAATACCGCATGACTCCACTTCTATGAAGAATCTAAACAGGGCCAGATTCGTAGAAGCAGAGAGTAGAATGGTGGCTGCCAGGGCCTGCAGGGAGGGGAAGGGGGAGATCGTGGGTATAGAGTTTCAGTTTTGCAAGATGGTTCAGTTCTGGAGATCAGCTGTGCAACATTGTGCCTATAACAATCCTGTATTGGACACTCAAAAATTTGTGAAGAAGGTAGATCTCGTGTTCTAAGTTCTTACCATAATAAAAAAAAAAAAAGGAGGGAAGAGAGGGGGACACCACCCCCAGATTGTCAACGGGACCCTGCTGTAGAAAGGGAGGTCCCTCGCCGGGCACAGTCACCTCACCTGTGTGGACGGAAGAGCCTGCTCACCTGTGACTGCCAAGTCCAGAGGCTTGCTGGGAACTGACCACCTTGTTTGTCTGTGATACAAGCAGGAGTAGTGCCCAGCAAGGTGGTAGGTCATATGTGGGAATGGGAACTTGGCCTTGTTGCTGGGTCCCAGTGGAAACTCCCTTCTCAAGGGCTCTGAGACTCCTTCCCGGTACAGGAAGTACTGGTCAGCTTTCTGAGACCACTGACACTAGATGCTCACAGCCTTCCCCTGGGCCACCGCAGGGCCTGGCTCTGCCCAGATGATGGGTGTGAGCAGCGTCTCTGGAAGAGAGTCAGAGTTGCAGTCCCTATATTCTCTATGCCTCAGTTTCCACTAGCTCTCAGCCCTGGGGCCCCTTGTACACCTTCTTATTGATCAGTTTAACATTCCTCTCCTCCATCCTCCAGATGCCCTGGCAGGGAGGGGAGTCCTATATTGTGCCCAAGGAGGAAGTGGGACCTGGGACCCCCAGGGATGGGCTCACCTGCCTGCACGTGGGTCATCTGGCCCAGACACAGTCCTGGAAGAGAGATCCCAGTGAAAGGCCACTGACTCCTGAGCAGATCCCCACCTTTCCTGAGCATCCCAAGTTCACGAGACCTCCTGAGAGATCACAGCCTGGCTTTGAGAGGGCTCCCCTCTCCCACACAGGAGTCTATCCCCATCCTTCCAAAAACTCACCGAAGCAGAGAAGGACTGTAAAGGTGATGGTCATGGCGCTGCCTCCCACTGGACAAGGCTGCACAGATGGACAAAAGCACAGAAACTGGCAGACCTGACATACCCAAAGGATGCGGGCAGCAGGGGGCTTTCCCATCGGTGGGCTCAGAGAAGGGGGCTCCAGAGGACGCCTGTGCCCCTGCAGACAAGTGAGATCTGATCTGTGGTGAGCCCAAGCTTCTATCTACTAGGCGTGACCTCCTTCCTCAAGAGGGTGGGGACCGAGTTTCCAATCCTGAGTCGGCCCGTTGGCCACATACAACCTGGGTGTGCCCAAGGGAATACCACTTCCTTTCTCAAGATCTCCATATATGGGGATTTCTTCCCTTCAGCCAGTCACCCAGCATTTGAACCCTTAGATTTTTTCCAGGCCCTGGACATTCATCTGTGAACGAGAAGATGTAGTCACAGTGCCGGCAGGGCTCGGATTATCAGAAGACAGATGTTCAATAATGGATCTCACAATTACTTATTTGAAAAAGAGAAACACACAGAAATATGAAAATGTATAGCAGTAGGGAACTATAAGCTGTATATTAAAAAATAGAAACCTTGTACCCATCCTCACGGGGTATCCTTAAGGACTGATTATGCACTCGCCATCACTCATCATCAGGGAAATGCAAATCAAAACAACAATGAGATATCACTGCACATCTATTAGGATGACTATTCCCGAAACACACACACAAAGACAAAAAGTACTGAAGAGGAAACAGAAAAATTGGAGCCTGTGTACACTGTTGGTGGGAAGGCAAAATGGTACAGTTGCTGGAAAACAGTATGGAAGTTCTACGAAGTATTAAAAATAGGACTGCCATATGATCCCGCAATCCCACTCTTGGGTATTGATCCACAAGGACTGAATTGGGATCCTGAAGGAAAATTAGCACTCTATTGTTCATTGCAGCATTATTCCCGGTGGCCAAGATGTGGAAACAATCTAAGTGCCCTTCAATGGATGGATGGATAAATCACATGTGGCATCCACATACCATGGAATATTATTCAGGAAATATTCTTAAGAAGGAGGAAATCTTACATTTGTAACAACATGGATAGACGTTGAGGACATTGTACTAAGTGAACTAAGACAGTCACAGAGGGACGGATACTGCATGAATCCACTTACATGAGGAATCTAAAATGTCAAACACGTAGAAGCAGAGAGTAACATTGTGGCTGCCAGGGGCTACGGGGAGGGGACGTGGGGAGGCGATGTTCCACGGGTACAGACCTTCGGTTCTACAAGATAAGCAAGTCCTAGGTATCTGCTGCACAACATTGTGCCTGCAGGTAACAATACTGGATTATACGCTTAGGAATTTGTTAAGAGGATTGATCTCATTTCTATTGTTCTTACCAATATAAATTTTAAAAAGACAAGTGACTATGGTGTCAGACTTCATAGTCAAGATGGCAGACCAGGCCCATGTTTGGAGTCCCCTTCAGCTCCAAATGCAGAGAAGCTCTGGACAAAACGTTTGTAAAACATGTGGTCATGGCCAGACAAAGAGAGAAGTGGGGGTTCCATAGGGGAACAAGGCTGCGTAGGGATGACCAGGGGCTGAAGCAGTGCAGTTGGAGCTGTGCTGAGAGGGAAGACTTACAGTATGCTGGTGACCTTAAAAATAAGCCTTGCCAGTTATTTCACCAGCAAAAGATGGGTTTATCGGAAAATAGGAGAGAATCCCAGACCGGAACAAACATGCTGCACCAAAATCATGGTCAAGTCCAGGGAACAAAAGGGAGGTACGATTTTTAAGGAGAAAGGGGGTAAGTTGGGAAGGTTGCAATAAACTAAAAGTCCAGTGGAGTTAAGTGGGCATCAGAAGACTCCGGGAACCAGACTGAGGGTTACAGAAGGGAGGTGGGTGGGGGATGGGATAACTGGGTGATGGGCATTAAGGAGGGCACATGTGGTGATGAGCACTGGGTGTTATATGCAACTGATGAATCATTGAATATTATATCAGAAACTAATGATGTATTATATGTTGGCTAATTGAATTTAAATTAAAAAAAAAAGGAAGTGTGGTAGCTTCTCATTGGCTGAGCTGTTGCCCCGGGGGATAAGCATAGCATCTCTCCCCCTGGCTGGAATAGAGGAGTAGTACCCAGAAGCAAGGTCAAGTCCATGTAAGTTCAACTCCACCTCTTCCTGTTGGGTCCACCATTGACTACAAGTGGTAGAGCATGACAGTTTCCTGGCCAAAACCTCCTGACTCCATTTTAGCAACTGATTTTCACCATGCAAAGAACTCTGAACAGCAAAAAGACAAACAACCCAACTACAAATAGGCATAGGACTTGAACAAATATTTCTTCAAAGAAGACATGCAAATGGCCAACAGGTACATGAAATAGTTAAATAGATGAATGAATAAATAAATAAAATCTTAAAAAAAGAAATTATACACAACTCTCTCATTTTATAGCTCAAGCCTCACACAGAAAGAGAATAAATAACATGTGCCCAATACTCATATGAAAATTAGCAAAACCAAATTAAGCTGTCACAGACTGAGTACAGAGCTTGGCTCTCTTCCTGGTTTCCATTGGGATTTGTCCATTCCAAGGCACAGAGACACCCTCTTCATCCTCTTTATCAGTGGTGGCCCTCAGCTCCCAGAGCCCTAGAGACCCTAGATATGCATCACAGGTAGTCACGGAACCTGGCTGAGGCCAGAAGGTAGGTTTGGGAAGTGCTCCTGGAGGAGAATCAGAGGTAGAATTTCAAGGGATCCTTCACAATCACAGTTGTCCTAGAGGAATCTCTATCTCTATCTTCCCAGAGCTCCCCTTCCCAAGCCTCCCTCTCCCCAGTAGGCAGGGCAGCTTCCAGAATATGTCCATGCCCTAGTCCCTGGAAGCTGTGAATCTCTTACTTCACATGGCAAAAGGGACTTTGAGGATGTAATAAAGGTTTACAAACTTTGAGACAGAGACGTAGCAGTAGCCTACTGATACACTTAAAAATAAGAGAGGTGAGGGAGGACGAGGTCTATCAGATATTACAACACAATAGAAACACTTTTTAACAAAATCATCTAGTACAAGCACATAAGGAGAATAGCCAAGCTAAGAATTGAATCCATCTAGTTATAGAAACTTAGTGCATTAAGAAAGTGGCATCACACATCATTGCAAAAAAAAGGGCATTTTTAAAAATAAATGGTTTGCTGAAAACTGAATTGGATTTATCCTCCATATTGTGTAGAGCAAATAATTAAGAGATATAAGTATATAAAACAAAACCAAGTAAGTGCTAGAACAAAATATTGAAGAGCTTCTTCATAATGAGAGAGAGAAAGGACTCTAAACCATGATGCAAAGCCCTGAATAAATTTGAGGGTTTTTTTTAAAGAAAAACTTTTGCAAGGAAAGGAAAAAGCCCATAAGCCAGTTTGAATAACAAGGCAAAGAGAGAAAGAACATATATATCACATATATAATATTGTATGATATAAATTGTAATAGTTTATATATATGCATTTGTGCATCTACATACATATATATTACATAAAAGGGCTAATTACATAAAAGGGTACATTTCCCCAATACAGTAAGTTAGAAACAAAAAAAAAATGGGCAAAGCCTATTATCCCTTAAGATAATGGACACAAGACATGAATGGATAAATAAAATGTGGTCTGTCCAGACTGTGGAATATTATTTGGCAACAAAAAGGAATAAAGTCCTGATTCATGCTACAAAGTGGATAAAACATAACACATTATGTTTTGAGCGATACTTCACATGCTCAGTGAGAGAAGCCAATTACAAAAGATGCGTATGGTTCACACTCATATGAAATGTCAAGAATAGACAAATTTATGGAGAGAAAGCTTAGTTGCCCGGGGCTGGGGAGACAGGAGTGATTGCTAGTGGGCATGGGGTTTCCTTTCGGGGTGATGAAGGTGTTCCAAAATTGACGGTGGTGGTAGTTGTTCAACTCTGAATAGTTCAAAAAGCCACATTGAATTGCACACTTTAAAATGGGTGAATTGGGGTGCCTGGGTTGGCTCAGTCAGTTAAACGGCTGCCTTCGCTCAGATCATGATCCCGGGGTCCTGGGATTGAGTCCCGCATTGGGCTCCTTGCTCAGCAGGGAACCTGCTTCTCCCCTGCCATTCCCCTTGCTTGTGCTTGCTCTCTGTCTCTCTCTCTCTCTCTCTTGCTCTCTCTGTGTCAAATAAATAAATAAATAAAATCTTTTAAAAAAATAAAATAAAATGGGTGAATTGTATGGTATGTGAATCACGCCACAAACTGTTACCAAAACCAAAGTCTGAAGCAAACTGAGATATTAACTGAAAGTTTCTATCCTGTCTATGCACATGACGTGTAATCATATAAACAGGTGCTCTGTGCATTCATCACAAGAGAATGTCAAATGAAAGTCACACGTGTTTCAGAGGTCAGATTCGAGCATTTCTGAACATTGACCACAAACACCGCCAGGAGGGCTGTGCGAAGACACTCACTCTCTCCCCTCCGCTGGCTGGCAGAACCCAGAAATGTGATGACACTGACTGCAGAAAATCCAGTAAGTTACATGACCAGTGAAACTCCCATCGGCCCAGCAAACTGCTCTCAGGAATCTATGGTGAAGACGTTGGGGGACAGAGACGAAGCCATCCCTGTGCGTTGTCTGACACCAAAGCTCTGTCCATTAAATCCAAAGAGAGGAGACTATTTGGGAGCATCTGGGGTAAAGCAGCCATGGACATAATGAAGAGGATTTATATGAACCAATATGCCATGGCCTCCGGGATGCACAGTATGGCAGGCTGGACGCCTCCCCCCCCCTTGCTTTGATGTTTGCTGTCTCTCAGCGTACAGTAGGTAAGAAATTATGTTCCCTAGATGACAGCGTTCTGTGGTCAAGGTCATCCTCATCTACATGTTGAGCTTCCCTGCCTACTGCAAAACTGTCTCCTTTGGGTGTCCCCAACACCCCCGGACCTGTGTATAGACACCCTCCCCATTTCA